AGCTGGGCACTCAAAACATGCATTTTTAGGAGCCAGCAAGCAGTTTTAGGGGCCAATCCTATAGCTCATTGTAAAATGTACTCTATTATGGAGGTTATCAGAAAAATCATTGAATTAAGTAGTGGATGTCAGGTAAATTGAAAGGAAACTAAAGATATTAACATATTTCGATTTATTTTTCATGAATTTGTATTTCATGAAAAAAAACACAAGTCAATCTATTTCTTTCTTTTTTTCAGACCACTTAAATGATTTTTTTTTCAGTGTATATGAAGTTCTCTCTCTAAATCATAGTATAACAGCAATTTTTTGTTCCATATTAGTCCTCTGGATGATATGCCATGTGGATCCCTGTTAGTATTGCACTGTGTATTAGCTCATTGTTTGGGGAGGGTGCCGAAAGAGTGTATTACAACAAAGTTATTGGAAATTTGAATGACCCATTACTTTCCAATAGGGGGGGATGTCAGTTGTTTGAATTGTGCATGTCACTGTTGGAGATGTTACTGCAAGTTGAAAGTGGTAAACAGGTGTATACAAATATTTACAAAATAACAAACCTATTGGACAGCTATAAAACACTCCATTTCATCATTTGATAGTCTCGTTATTTATTATTCTAATCAAAAACATCTTAGGTGTGAAGAAAAGGTGCAGCCAATAAAGGATTGAACATGCGACGTAAAATAATGAAATCAAAATTGGTGGTCAAACTGGTAGCTACACTTGTAGCATTGATAAGAATTGTACAGCAAATATTCATTCATTAATTAGCAGGACCATGTTTTGTGTTCAACTTGGGGTATGATGGTGAGTAAAATAAAATACATGGCCTAGCTAATTAATGAATGAATATTTGCTGTAAAATTCTTATCAATGCTGTAAGTATAGCTACCGGTTTGGCTGCCAATTTTTGTTGAATAACTTTACACATGTGGCTTTATACTTAAACCAAACTGAACACCTAATTGTAGGTTGTAAAGATCTATCAGTGTACCAAATTTGAAAAAATCCATGAAAGTTAAGTATGTTTTTTTATCGAATAAAGTTTCCATACCTTCAGACATCCATTGAAAATATGTGTTAGTTTGGATTACCACAGTCCAAACTACAGAAAGTGGAAAATTGCTAAACTATCACTCATGTTAGTAACACACGATGTGTCCAGCAGGTTGTTATTTGCATGATATACTACTGTGGATCTTGATTCTATACATTTTGTCGAATTTCCACACATTTTATAATCAAGTTCAAAGTTCATCAATGCGTGTATTTTTTCCGTTAATGTTATATAGAGCCTTTTTCTTTTCTACAAACTCCTCCATTTAATTATAACATTGCCATGTATAGATTTACTCTAAGTCTAATATTACAATACATGGATTTATATTTTAGTGTGTACTACAGGGAATTCATAAAATTTGACATGTTTCAGATACCAACTTTGTATATGCACACACACACACATATATATATATATATTCAAGTAATAGGTTTCTTATTCAACTTCAGAGAGAAAAGGCATTAATACTGTTATTTAAATAATTTAAGGAATATTTTAATATCAAACAGTTGTGAAAATTAACCGTGATGAAGCCTCATAGGTGAAACATTTTGTTAAAATAAAAAATTATTTTATATATACAGCTAGAATATAATGGTCATTTTTTCTAAAACTTTTATTGAAATTATTGCAGATTGTATTGTAACAACAGCATACAGATAAATAAGTTGTCTTGTCAGTTGTGTTCTAAAGTAATTGAACAAACCTGTGTGGTCTTTTGACAAAAAAAAAAGGCAATTATTTAAAGCTCTAGATACAACTGTGGTAATCATCACTGTAGTGTAAGTGAAATAATAACCAATTATGTTGTAACAACAGAGCAGAATAAAATAATTCATCTTGTCAACTGTTTTCTAAAGTAATTGAACCAGCCTTTGTGTCTTTGTGTAAAGAGACATTTACAACTCTGGTGATTAACTGTAACGAACATTTGTATATATGTTTGACTTGTTTTAATATACTATTTTAAAACAAGTGGATTGTTTGTTTATTGTTGAAATTTATTGCCAACAAGTCACAGGCACCTACTGTAAAGAATCCTGCCCATCTGTATGTAAAAGCCCCAAAAAATACATACAGATGGGCAGGATTCTTTACAGTAGATGCCTGTGACTTGTTGGCAATAAATTTCAACCATTCTGCATATGTAATATATGCTTCATATAATTTAGCATTGGCAGTAAAAGAAATTTAACCTTTTACTTTACAAATCATTTATTTTAGTCATTTTTGTAGACAATAAATATTTATGCTGTATCATCTTGGATATGGATATGTTAAAGTATTCTTATGTAGGGTATTCTTTTCAGAAACTTTTTCTCGGTGTAGCACTTGTGGGGAAAAAACAAATTTTGCCATAGAATATCAGTATGTTACTGATATTAGTAACCTAGATCCTTAACTTTTAATATTTTTTATGTATATTATCATACATGCATAATTTGTTGCCTCTTCTTTTAATTTCCAGCTTTTGTTGTGGAATGAAATATTCTGTTTATCTCTCAGGTTTTCAATTCGTGTTCAAAGACAGTCAGTTGTTCAAGAAACAAGATTCTTACAGGAGAAACCAAAGAATATTGTATCCAACACTGAAGTTTTGCCTGAGGTATGTGTTCTTCTACTTTAAAAAGAGATTTTGATGGACATCTGACTGTATGAATTGATACTTATTAACTGCAGCACTAGGTTTTTAGATAGATATTTTTTAATGTTTAGAATTCATATGTTATGATTTGTTTGTTAAAAATGAATTAATAATTGTTCCTGTAGTTTGAACCATCCTTTCAAAGATGTGCCAGGATGTATTAGTTTTTTGTTAGTACTTTGCTACAGTTAAATCATAAATGATGAATAAAACTTTCACAACAATATAGGAATATGTCTTTATCTAAGTATATTATGCTGATTTTCTTCTACATTTTTGTTCAGATTTTCTGCATATAGTTAGTGACCTTTTTGTAAAGTGTATGTGAAAGATTGTAAGCTTGCACTAATTCTTTATCTTCGAAAAAGGTTATCTATGGGAATAATTGTTCAGTAAAAAAATCTTATATTGGCTTATTTCTTTTTCTGTGTTGTGGCTATCCTGAAGTGTGAATTGCAATCAAGTTAAGGGCTGGTACAGAGATTTGTACAAGTTTTATGTGTAGTTAATTCATAAACATATACTCATCTCTGTGCACAACAAAAAGTTATTACCTCTTCCTACTGCCATGAAGATTTTAACCCTTTTCAAAATTTAATTAGACAACTTTATTATCATTGGACACAATAAATTAGCATCACAGCATAGGTTATACTTCAAATTTTAATATTATAAATGTTTTAATTTCTATTTTGAAAGAAAATATTTAAAGAAAATGCCAAATATACTTTTTTGTTTGTCCTATGGATGTCTTATTGCTCAATTTATATTTCATTACAACTACCATAAAAAGTCTATAGTGGCTAATGAAATAGGAATTCAAGCTTCAGACATTTACATACTACAATATGAAATAAGAACCTCTCACTTTTTGGTTTGCTGAGATACCAGTATATTGTACAAACCTACAAGGATAACCCTGCCCACTAATCCATGCTTTTGAAACCTCTTGTTCATGGTTATAACCAATAAAAAGAGCAGTTTTCAAAATATGTAAATCTGACAGTTGCTTGTAATTGGCTTGAAGGGGAAACTTTTATCTGACTGGAAAAGTTGAAGTCTGTTGAGTAAGTTATTGCTCTGAACAGAAGTTAGTTTTTTAACCCACATATAGCTTAGTTAGAAAGCAGGTAAATTACACTGATTTTATGTGTACCAGTAAAATAATTTGATAGCTTCTTGGTTTTCTAAAATGCATCTTTGAAATCGATAAAAACTAATTTGTCTTCCCCCTCCACTTGAGAGAATATAGAAGGCTTACTGCGAAGCTTAGCAAATATGATGCACGAGTACAAATCAAATCCATAACCTTATAAGTACTAGAAATCATTGTTTTTCTATATATTTCTATTTATTGTTTTATGTTTTTTTGAACACTCTGACTATATATTCAAGGCAAAATTTTTAGTAAAAAATACTTATTTAAAAATTCAGATTTTTTTGTCAACAAAAGACGTGTAATGTTTACTAAAAGCTTGAAAATTTTCATGAAGATACACAAAACATGTTAAAAGGTATAATATGGAAACTCCAATGGTCATTTTGGGGTCACATGGTTGGTGTAATCCACTGAGTCAGTATCGAAAGAATTAAAGCTCCTACCCATACATGTACTAATGTGTGCTGTGCCAGCCTATGATGTAATCATAATTCAGCTATAATCCTCCACCAACAGGAAGGTGATACATCCTCATGCGCAGTAATCTCTATGAGCACCAGCATTGGAACAAAGGGTCATTCTTTTCTCAGCATTGCTTTGTTTAGATGTTGTTGTTTTTTCATAAGAATTGATGGCATTCTTGTGCATACTATTTGTTTAGATACCATTTGTAGTACAGTCCTTCTTTTTTTTTATTTTTCTTGAATATGAGAAAAATATATATATATATACAAAATTTTAAACAATTAAGTTAGAACTTTGATTGAAATTATCTTCAATTTGTATTTTTTTTAACCAAATTTTTTATATTAGGATAGTTATCCCATTGTTAAGATTTCTCATTGTCTTAATCCAGTGTGTTTTGTTAAGTTATCTTAATTGTTGTCATTCCTCCAGTGAACTAGGCCTATGTATCCTTGACACATCAGGCTAACTTGATAAAATGGTTTTGTGGATCATCTAGATTACTGTTCTTATTTTTACATTTCTGACATTATCTGAAGGTACTGACACACCTGAACAGGAGTCATCAATATTATAATGACTACTGCAGGCACTTGGATGGCTAATGCTGCTACTGCTGTTGAGCACCAGGTAGTTGTTTCCATTTTGATTTTAGGTCCACGATTTCCAGCCTTCTGCTTCTTTTACTTCAGCTGAGTCTGCCTCAACTTTTAATAAGTTTTGCATGAGATTTCACGGCATCTGCTTTCTAGTTTCCTCTTCCTGTTGACAATCAGATAATCCTACCTTTCCCTAGCATTGTTTAGATTGCACAGGTATGTGTCATTTGTTTTCTCATTTTTCAGTTGTTTTTTCTGATTCTTGGGGTACCTTGTTACATGAGCTTTCACCACTTGAATCTATTGTTTCAGCTGGAGGTCTTCTCTTTTTTCCCTTCCTTTTATTTCTTCAACCCTTTCAAGATGGTTCACGGGCGAAAGGCTATGTCATTTCGTTTGTTGATTCGCACTCAAAATTTTATTGAACTACTATTTCATGAATTTATGTTTATAAATTTGGTATCAAACTGTAGATTATAATTCAAATTTTAGTACTATACATTACTAAATTTTTAATTTAAAAGTAAATATTAAAAAAAACAGATAAACATTGATTTTTGTGTATCATGTGGTATGTTCAATGCAGCACTGGTTCAAATTAGATGTTTGTGAAGTCAAGATACTAAGTTTATAGTTTAGTACAAATTAGAAACTCAAATTACCAATATTGACAAGCTAGAATATAAAATAAGAATGTTTTATCTTTTCTATTTGCTAAGATATTGCTTATGTAATAAATTAAACACAGTGACACCCCACCTCTTTCCATTTTTGGAAACACTCCCTTATATACACTTATGTTTGCATTTCAAACGTTTTTTCTCACTAAATCCTTATAGTTTATCTGTTATTTTCTCTACCTTATCTCAAAACGGGATTGATCAATTCAACCGACCCTGTAACCACCAAAAAAATATTGAATCAAAATAAATCTAAATGAACCTTTTTTCTTTCTAAAATGACTTCAAGTTGTAACATGAAACTACATTTGTTTATCCTAAGTAGCTCTAAGCTTGTAACATTATACATCTATTTATAATTAAATGTTATTGTTTTATTGCCCTTTGAACTGTGTTTAACTACTATCCGTGCCATTATAAGTTGTAAATCACTGAGGAAACGTGCAGCTCACATTACTTTATCGAATTACATTTACCACGAGCTGCTCAAGTGCATGCCTTGTTAACCATTTTAATTATATTGTTACGTCTCCGTTTGTTAATTAACTTTCCGTAACTTTGTTCCGACCAAACTTTAGCGACACAAGTCCTTACTTAATAAAACTGGTTTATTCTTTCCGAATACAACTTTACGATACACTTATTTTCAACAATCGCTCTATAACAAATGCTATATCAATGAACGTCAAC